GTAGTTTTTTGTAGTTTTTATAGTATTCTCTTTTATGAGTAGAGGTAGTATGAAGCGGTTTTTAAGTTACCATTCTACTTTTTCATCAAACTAAAGATGCTATACCCAGATTTAACTAGTTAAACTAGTTGGTTTGGTTTGGTTTAATTTTGATATAAAAAAAAAGTGTTTTTTGCCTGTTGTAGATACTTTATTTTTTGAGTTATACCGGCTGCGTCTCAAAAGTGGCTCATCCCTATAACTTTTTTATTTTTCAGATAAAAAAGAAGATTTGGTACTTTAGTATATGACATAAATTAGGATTGATTTGACGTATTCAATTGGTTTTGGTCACTTTCTGTATCACCGGAAATGACTACAGCTTTTGATTTTTAAATGGCCCCCTCGCCTCGGTATATTTCTACTTTATTCGATAGAAAACAACACTCAACTTTTGACATTTTCGCATATGGTTTATATGAAATTGTAACATGATCTACTAGCTCTAATGAGCCACAGTTGTTCCATTTGAAAAAATTGAGATATTATTAAAAATACGACTTCAGCATCTTTTAACCGGCCAGGACAAGACATGAAAAACATTAGACGATCAATTTTATTTTTCCAAGGTTCCTTGATTATTTCCCACTCTAGATTGAAATTTAAAATTTCTTTTTAAGGAAATATGTCAAAAGTTGACATATAATATGTAACTCTATTCAGACTCTACCTGAATTCTACCTAAAAACTCTACGGATCACAGTTCTCAGCATTTTGATACGCTTTAAAATGCCCAAGATACAAAGAGGGTCAAACATGCAACATTTTAAAATTTGCCCTGCATTCCAGGAACTAAGAAGGCTAGTACAAATCTGTGTCTAGCGTCTATAGTTTCACAAAAATGTAACACAGTGACGTGAAAACCGCATCTTTGTATCTCTTACTCATAATCGAGAAACTCCATAAAAGGCACAAAAATGGACACACATTAATTGAAAAATAATTAACAAAATAGTTTTTCAACGATGTATCATGTAGGTACATTAGGGTGTCCGTTATTTCCTAAGTTGATTTCCTTTTGCTGCCGCCCTCTAAATTTTAGTTTTTGCTTTAAAAAAGGATCCAACGTAAACAAGCTCTTAATTTTTAATTTAAACCGTGCCGGAATCATGATACTTTTTCCATTTAAACAACGTGGGATTTTCTCACCATTTGCATTTATTTTTTTTTATCTCCAAAATAAATGAATCCTTCGACAAAGACCTATTCTAATACAAAATTTTACGCTCTACATTACCATTATACAAAAAAGGTCTCTTTGGTTATTTCCATAAAAACATTCCTTTAAAAGTTATTCGCGGTTAAAATTATGCACATAGTTTATAATCAAATCCAACTGGAAGATTCCAAGCAACAAAACCCGTGCGTAGTATGAAATGCGACGTACGACTGATCGGACTGCCGACTGATTGTATATACCGTCCTTCGTCATCGTCTTTGCGTGTCCTTTATTTATAAAAAAAAATATTATTTTTCATCAAAAGAATATTTAGCTATTGGAAAAATGGCCATGTTTCTTGAATGAAGTACTTCCTAGCGTATTTTTCTTATTATCTTAAAACAAAGTAACTTGCACTTCGTTGAATGAAAATAGATTCAAGAGAAATTTTCGAATTTTGCAAGAGAACAAGTTTTCTTGAGTTTTTCTTCAAAGAAAATATTTTCTTTTGCGCTAAAATTAATTCTCTTGCCACTAATTTTTTTTTAAGAACGATGACGACTTTAGTTCAAGTCTATCTTTTTTTCATTCACATCATTCACTGCAAATTTTAATTGCGCCTTTTGATTTTGACTAGATCTAGAGCCATACTTTTTTCAATAAAACAATATTTCTTTACCAACTTTAATATGGAAAACTAATATTGCTCCATCTATGATCAATTGATCAAAAATATAACTTAAGGTTATTGTATTATTGCCTCTCAGGGTTCGTAAATATGTGTGTCAATTGAAAAGAATGAACAAATTTCGAGTGATTTTTATCTTAAATGTTACTTGTATCGAATTAATTAAATTAAATTAAATTATTAATTAATTAAATTATCGTCGAAGAACTTCAGAGGGCGACATAAAAAGAATCAACTTGGAAAATAAAGGACACTCTAATGTCCATATACCTAAAGCTTCCCGTATCCTCAGTAAACGACTGTAAGATACTAATTAATTTTATTGTTTCATACTAAACGACTGGTTAATTTCAAGGAATTCCGTATCTCTGCCAAAATAGTTATGAATATTTAAAAATTATGAAGGCAAAGGAAACTAAATAATTGTAATTAATACGATAATTTTTATTCCTAAATAACTATAAATATGTCATTTTTTCTGAATCCCACGTTTACTACATATTAAAACATCATAAATCATAGTTCGAGTATGATGCTACATCACCTAACATCAAAGCTTAAAAATAAATGATTTTTCTCTTTCAATCTAAAAAACTCTTTCTACTCCCAAACTTAACCAGAGGAATATAATATTAATCCCAAAGAAAAATACAAAACGAAAAAAAAATTCTGTACATTGATGAATGAAAACCCGCCAACCTCAGCTCATTACCGAAATTTTCCAGGTTTCCCAATCTCTCTCCATTTCCCCTTCTTTTCCCCACCATTTTATTTCCCCTTAAAAGAACGAAAAAATAAATACGGAGAAACTGTTGCGTCTGATCGAAGACGGTGGCTTATCCATACTAGGGATGGTCAAAACTGTTATTTTTCTGTAATAAAACTGTTATTTCTTTTGAAAAAAGTCTGGTATTTCTTATAGTTACTGTGGCAGAAAACTCAGAAGCAGAAAACCCTTTTATTTTAGAAATGAATCTGCCAGAAAAAATAAAATTATAAGTTACTGTTATTTTTAATTTTTAATGTAAAAAAGTGTAAATTTAGCTTGCTACATCAACTTGATTCTTAGATCTTTTCTGAGAAACTGTCGTAAATTTTCTTGTCCAATAACCTCACAAGCATTTTATCTAGATTGTAATCTGAATGAGGACTAATATCTTTCACATCACAATGTATTAATTTTTCTCCTTTATATTGCACACTTGTTTACTAGCAGAACTTGCAGTCGAACATTATTCATTTTAGAACATCTTCGAGTGCGAAATATACAAGATAGCTTATAATAGCCGTAAAAAACTCGTCGGAACTTTATTAGAACATTTTAAACGAGAAAGCGTTAGTAATGGCCCTTTATGTCACTTAAGTGCTGTTAAGAAGGTGAGTTTTGTTGATATAAATAATAACTGCTTATATATTTATAATTAAAATTAATAGAATATCCTAAAATATTTTGATTAAAAGAAAATATATAAAAGTGGTCAACGCTGTACCGGTCAAGCCGAGGGGTGTCTCACTCGGGTAAAAAATGTACACGTACTGCCAAAATAATGTTCCACTGCCAAGCGACTGCCAATGACTACGAATAAGACTGCCTATGACTGCCATGTAATTATTATAGGCGACTGCCATAAGGCTGCCAATGACTGCCAGCAACTGCCAAGAAAATGGACATGTAATTCCAATAGTGAGACACCCCTCGGGTCAAGCTTAATCACGTGACTAAAAGTTTATTAGACATTAATTATAGTTGAAAATTTACAGTTTTTAATATCAAGTTTATGACCAAAAAGTTTATGCAATTTTTGACTTTTTTGATCTGCTGTATTTTTTCAAATGAACTAGTAGATACTACTGTAAATAATTTGCAAGTTCATAATATTCAAAATTTTCCCAAAAAACAAAAAGGATAGAAAAAATGTTTGTAATTTTCTATGTATTTTGCTAAAGTGAAGCAATTTTTTTGATTTCATTTGATGCAATTTTTGCTAAATTGTTGTATTTGCTTTATTATTTATTCAGATCAATAATTTAAGATAAAAAAGTTAAAGAATATGACATATTATGTACCTACCAAACAGCAAAATCATAATTTTTGTGGATATGATTTGCATATATTAATTTTACTAATTTAATTTTTGTAAATTGATGAAATATCATATCTCTACTTAAATAGCTACGAATATGGTTTGCTTTATATGTCTACATACTATCAAGTTTAGTTAGTAGTTACAAACTACGACTAAAATGTAAGCCACAAGAAAATTGCAAAAATTTACCGGAATTCGAGCAGAGCCTAGAACAAGCCCTTGAAAGCATGTCTGAGTATTACAAACTCAGCTCTCTGAAACCCAATCGCTAATATATTTTTAATCGCGTAAGAAAAAGATCTGTATTTGTACTCACCATATTCTGTATTTGTAAGTACTCATTTTCCTTCTGCTTTTTTAATTATAGTACTATAAAAACTTATAGAATGCTTAAATGCAAAAACTGCAGAACAAAATCCAAACAATAAAGTAAAGTTATCATATATATCATAAATGCAACGAAACTGTTTTGCAATGTTTTTCAGCAGATATTTTGTTTCGATTTTATATCTAAAAAGGCTACTTGGGTAGAAAGATTCCAGCAAATCCTTGGATGACAGGCTTTATGCAGAAACACCTCCGAATTGAATGATATCTCGTCGAGGTTTCCCAAACACGGTAAATATAGAACCACCAGATGAGTTCACAATTAACGTAGCCCGGCATATTGGGAGGAAATTATTTAATCTTAAGGTGTCCGAACGCGAAAAAATAAAGTAAGTAAGTGTAAAAAAGTATTGAAAAAATATCTCTAAACTTGACATCAGCAAATATCAATTCCAAAATGCCAAATCCCCAAATAACAACCCATCTCTAATCCGCACGCTTTCTCCTGGCATCCTTCCTCCTCGCCGCGTCCGCCACCAGAGAGCGCTTCAATACCGTCTCGTCTCATTGGCTCGCCGCTTCGACACGGAGGCGGAGCCTGGTGACGACATCGACGCCAGACTAGGCGTGGCCTGGGCAGCATCCCCGAGAGCGAGATGATCCCGAGCGACAGTGACGATTGTGTGTACGTACCCTTTGGCGTTTCGAGTCGCTGCGGCCGGCGGTGCAGTGTGGAACAGGCCTGTGACTGATTGACGTATAGCGATTGTGGTCGGTGAAGTAGTCGAATAGTTTGGCTCGTTTTTTTCGGGGATTCGATTCACGAGTAGGAGTCAAGTTGTAAAGTGACTGTATAGTAGGTAATGAATGGATTGTGAGATGCTTTTGTGGTGAGTTTGTTAGGAATTAGAGGACGTTAGGTAGATTTTTTTGTTTTAATGTTTTGAATATGTAATAAATATAATCTAAACGATATTTATACTGTCAATTTCTTAGAATTAAGCTTCATTTACAACCTCGAAATTAGTGGAATAAATTAGCAATTTCAATTATATTTTATACTTAAAGCATCATTTAGAACTTTGAAATTAGTACCTAGTTTCAATTACACTTTATAAAGCTTCATTCATAACTTCGCAATTAGTGGAATAAATTAGTGGTTTCAATTACACTTTATACTTTTTTAGTTTACGATCATTCACAATGTTTAAAAAACACAATTAAAATTAATAGAATATCCTAGCAGCAGCTTGCGTTAGTCAGTTGTACCCATAGAGAAAGCTTAATATTTAGCTTATAAAACAATCAACTTTTCATTTCTCACCACAATTTCTCTTGACGGAAGATAATCAAGAGTCAAAATGACATTTCTTGCAAATTTTGAAGTATAATTAGTGAAAAAGAAGATTGGATAACTTTGTCTACTAACTGAAAATGTCTACCACTAATTTTGAGTTCGGAATGCTTTAAGATTTTATAGAAATGAAAAAAACAAACGTCTACGCTTATTGAAGATTGAAGCCACTAACTGCGGGATTCTGAACGAAGCTTAATTAAAAATTTACGATCATTTCAAATATCTAGAAAAATGCAGTTAAAATTAGTAGAATATAAAGCTACAGCTTTCGGTACTCATTTGTATCCACAGAGAAAGCCTAATATTTTGCTTATCAAACAATAAACTTTTTATTTAGAACCTATAGCCACAATTATTTCACTTGACAGATGAAAATCAAAGGTCAAAGCACAAAATGGTATTAGTCGCAAATTTTGAAGTACCTATAATTAGTAGAAAGAGTTAAAAGTTTTTGAACTTTTTCGACTAATTGAAAATTATTACCACTAATTTTGACATTCTGAATGCTTTCATTGAAATTAGAGGAACAAATTTCTACTCTAATTGAAACCACTAATTTCGAGGTTCGTAATGAAACTTAGAAGTTTACGATTATTTACAATGTCTAGAAAATGAAATTAAAAGTAATAGAATATACTAGCAACATTGTGCGGTAGTCACTTGTATCCATAGCGAAAACCTAATAATTAACTTATAAAAATATAAACTTTTGAATTATATTTACAATCTCTCTTGACAGATGATAATCAAAGACCAAAATGACATTACTCGCAAATTTTGAAGTATAATTAATGGAAAAAGTTAAAAGTTTGTAAACTTTTTCTAGTTTACAAACTTTTAACTTTTTCCATTAATTATACTTCAAAATTTGCGAGTAATGTCATTTTGGTCTTTGATTATCATCTGTCAAGAGAGATTGAAAATTATTGCCACTAATTTTGACGTTCTGAATGCTTACATTGAAATTAGAGGAACAAACTTCTACGCTAGTTAACTCCACTAATTTGGAATTTCTGAATGAAGCTTTCGGATACTAAACTTCATTGATGATTATCTCTGTCCCTATAAAATGGTAGTAGTAGGCTGGGGTTTTTGCTTCAGATAACATTTAAAGATACCCCTAAATTTAAAATTTGGAAATAATAAATTTAAACGTTGTTAATTTAAAAATTAATCTTTAAGAATGGAAGAGTGGGACCCACTGCCAAGTCTTTGACTCTGCTGAAAATTAATATATTCGAGAGTAACAGTGAAAAATTAATTGAGTTATTCCTATGGATGGATTGTTTAACCAAAATTTCTTAATTTATACTCGCGAGAAGGCGAAATAATAAATCATCAAAAATTATGAAAATTAATATCGATATTAAACTTACCTGATAGCTCAGTAAAATTTAGTCAAATATAATAGAAACAGGTAGACACAGGATGACTACAGGTAGAATTTTGACATTTATTGCCAAAAATGGCGAAATTATTTAGTGAATTAAGTGAATTTGAACAAGGTACCTACGTAGGAAAGGATGCCTATGAACAGCTGGAATATCTTTTCGAAAAATTGGAACCAGGATTGGCCGGAATGTTACAACTGTGATGCGATGTTGGACAGAGTGGTTTGTTCATCGTTGCCATACGCATCGTAATGGCCACAAAACACATACACAAGAAGAAGTGCTAGCGCCTTGCTAAATATTGGAAAGTGAAATTGACGTTTAAATTTGACACTGTTGACAAGTCTACTGCTACTAGCGCCCCCAATATCGCTTGTAGAAACTACGGACTAGATTGTCACGTATGGCGGGAAGTTTAAAAAAATAAAAAAAAATAATTCTTCATTTATTTTTAATTATGACATACATAAAAACACAAAAAATACATAATTTTTTAAAAATATATTTAATATCAATATCAAATACACAACAGAAATTAATTTCACCACAATAAATTAATAAAATCAAAAGAATAATGTTACAAGTAGATCAAGAGACAAAATTAATTATAACAAAACTGAAAAAAATGGCGTCATAGATAGCTTAGAAATGAAGATATATATCATAATTTTGAAAGTAAAATTATATGGGAAATGTCATCGATCATCATTTTTAAGCCAACTGGCCGATTATTTCAAACATACAAGCTGAGTTCGTTCATAGTGCTCTGAGAAATCTAGATAAACAAAGAATAATAAATTAAAAGTATTCCAGGGGACAAAAGAGGAAAAACCTGTATCGTCTCTGATATCTGTCAGGGTATTGTTGAAAGTGTCATCTTTTTGCTCGAAGTTTTCAAATCGATCAAAAAGATGACATTTAGAACAATACTTTGCCGTAACTTTCACAAATATCAGAGAGAATACAGGTATTGCCTCTCTTTTCTTCTGGGATGCTTTATATCTGTTGTTCTTTGTTTATCTATATTTCTCAGAGCATAGTGCCGAACACGACTACAGTATATAATAATTTCAATATCCTAAGGGAAAGAAAAAAGATCACCTTTCTGTTTTGTACTACGGTCCCTTTCTTCCGATGGCTTATCTCGTTGATATTCAGGAAGGTATCCATAAAATATATATTTTACTATCGGTCCTGGGATGAAAAAATATAAAATTTAATTTGGTTTGATGATCCTTTTCTGTCATCTAAATCAGGAGAATGACAATGAGCATGTTAAGATGAAAAAAAAATATTTATCAACACTTACCTACACGTTAGTCCGAGGAGTTTTATCAAAAACCTATATTTGCCTAAATAATTTATGTATTAAATTTGCAAAGCAAACTGCAGCGTGTAAACAAAAGAAATAAGATTTTGTTTCGATTTTGTGTCTAAAAATGCTCCTTGGGCTAAGAAGAGAGGGCGACCTAAGAGGAAGAAAACCTTTAAGTTAAATCACAAAAATTTGGTGTAAATACCATACCCAGAATCAGAGCTATAGTATATCGAAATTCTACCAGCCAGAATCGTTTATCAGGATACGTAAATGTAGAAGAATGTAGAATGTTTAGGAGGGGGGTTTATCACCACGGCCTTACAGATCTACTGTGTATTCCCCTTTCCTGAGTTATAACAAGTTATAACTCATCGTACAATGTCAGGGCTTTGACAAAAGCCAGTATCTGAGACAGCTCCACACAGGGACCCAGCTCTCCATGATACGTAAATAATATATCTCTATTGATTAAAAGTATCTTACAGATTTTTGATTAAGACATATTAATATGTCATCACGAGTGTATTTTCATCCTTAATGAATTATCCGAATATCGAACAACTTCCCTTTGAGCAATATATCATATCGATTTTATTTGCTGATATAAAACCAGTGTAATTATACGCAAACAATGTACCTTGTATTTTATAACTATATTAAACCTATATTTTATGCACGTGTAAGGTATGTCAATGCGTAGCCATTAAACTGCCAGATGATATATGTCTTAATGGTGCTTAAGCAACGATATTACCTGCTCCAGGTGTCATTACTTATGGTCTCGAATTAATATGGTGTGAGACAGTTTATTCCAGCGCATTCGCCATATTTTTAAAGATTATTTCATAGAAGAAAATATTAGGTTTTTGTCAACGCTGGTTAATTCCAATGTAAAAAAAGACACTCGATGAAAATATTAAAATACTAAAAAAGCATATATTCAGAGCGATTCATAGGATTAATTTGAGAGGACCGGTCATAGGATTAATTTGAAAATTTGAATTTTTAGATAAATTCACCTCTATCCTATGCCTATCTCTCATAGTTTTTGACCTCCCAAGTAGCATCTATCTGACTTCGAACTAAATCTGACCTGAAGCGACGTCAGACTTTGTGCAAATTTAGGTCGGGTGCTGGTGATACGACTGGTGACGCCGCTTTCCTATTAAAAGTGACGTCGTTGGATCCGAGTCGGTAAATCCAACGATCTGTCGACGTACAAAATAACAACGTACCATTTTTATTAATTTCCCAACGTCGTTCCAACGTTGGCTTGCACGACGTACCTATACTTGAACTAGCCCGACATCTACCCGTTGTCCGAATAGGATACGTCTCATTGATAATCCCTAAAGTAACGTCCAATTATATTTTGTTGTATTTTATGTTCATATTTTTAACCTAATTTACGTATCTCTATTTACGTCCGTAAATACAACCCATTAAGTAGCATTTGCGGCCTAATAAACATCATGAACATAACTTAATAAAAAGTTTTTGTAAACAAACTTAATTTTTTTTATTATGCCTAAAAAACACTACAAAGGCATTTAGACATTCATCTACATTTTACAGAAAGAGGTCGAGGCTTTTGCAAAATAATAATAGTAGTAGTGATGTCTTCCCTCCACCCACGAATGCTTTTTATCCGGAAGAGATGCTGCATTACACTGGTGCATCTTAATTTCATTTTTTAGCTTAGGAAACCAGCAAACCCCATCCTCCTCCTACATGTGAGGTACTGGTTCCAATTCTTTTAAATTTTCTATATACTATCTTAAAAAAGTGGCTGCCCATTCTTTTAAAGAGAAAACAAAAACTAAA